AAGGTCTGGAGGTTGTGGACCAGATTGCACGGACAGTCCACTGATAAGGGCTGCTGCAAGCTTCTTGAACTCCTGAATGTACGCAGAAAGAGTATGCGGGCCATAGAGTGTTGAAGCACCCTGGGAAGGAAACCAAGACACGCATTAGTATCCAAAACGAGAATTTTCCATTAACTGTAATGATTTTATATACTAGGCAGAGTTATCCTACATTTCCTATTACCCGTTTTATTTTTGGTTTTAAAAGATCAGACAACAAGTGTCATTGGGCACCTACAAATAACAAGCATTCCTATTTCAAAATTTACAATAGGTTAATGATTACGGATAATTTGTCTTCGACGTAAACTGAAAGGATAACATATACACGTTCGAAATGGTGGGAAAAAATTATGCTTATGTTCTATCTAAAATTGATGGACTGTGTGACTGAAAAGTTGTAGGTCCATGAATGTATGGTTGATATGGAGTTTGAGGAAAAAATGAGTTTTAGAAAATGGAGCTCAAACAGGGGCACAGAGTGGAACTATTCCAAGTGTTAAATCAACAGAGGTATACCATAACACACAACCCTTTTTCCAATAGATTAACTATCCGTGTATGAATTTTCAACAAACTTCGTTACGTAGCTTATAGCATGCAAAATATTTTGGTATTTAAGATCCACTCATGTAGATCCTCAAAGTGATACCGGCATTGAAGATATAAGTAAACCTTCAACTAGCAACTTCAAGCATGCTAATTCTGCCATAATAAGAATTACAGTTGTAAATTTCATATTCATTCTCAGTCAGATAATTTTGAGAATATATATATATATATATATATATAGAGTCAACCTCCTAGTTTGCCCTAATCATTAATCTGTACATTTCAACAAGGTCTTTATCTAGTGTTTGACAATGCTGTCTACATCATACTGCAAAACTCAAGTAGTGCCCACAGTTTATCGTATTATTTACCATAATTCAGTAACTGACCTCATATCTCTGTATCTGGTACTCCTCAAAGGTTGTTATATATTGTGAGTATGTATTTGTCAACCCAGCTATCACAACATGAACATTTTCATCAAATTCTTTTCTACCTCCACTTGTGAGCACTGTTCTCACAGCATCTCGTAGCCGTCTTCCAGCCATCGTAGTGAATTCTGTTGCACAAAGGCAAGTTAAATTAATGTTCAAGAACAAAATAAAAAAAAAAACAAAAGTCTTATTCCCAATAAATTTATGCCGGCTCTATAAAAAATTTTCACCATTCCACTCAGTGAGTCACTACATGCACTGAAATATCTGACGCACTAGATCTTTTACAACCACGGGGTCTTGTCAATTTTGGTATACCTCTCCATCTTATAACATGCTCTACTATGATTATGTCACTCTTATGGTTTGAAAGCAATATCCACGAACACTGAAGTATTTAATATATCACAAGTGGCTTTGAATTTACTTGTTTATCAAATCATAACCACAATTAAGGTCATGTTTATTGAAGGCTGTGCAACAAACTGTCAGGCTAAAAATTCATGGAATTTGGAGGCATGAAATGAATTCAGTTTGTGGGCATCTAATTTTATTTGACATTTCAATGTCGGTGTTTACATTTTCAGCTGCTTGCAGAGAGAAGGAGATAAGTCTCCATCATTACTGGAGAAAGAAACTAGCTTATAAACTTTGATGCACTTCTCATAATTTATTAATAAAAAATAGAATTGATTAAACCAAAGAAATTTGATTCAAGAATCTTTCGGAACCCTATATTCCACTGTCTCATAATGACATCTGCAGAACGAAAAAACCAAATAGATTTGACCTGGCGTGATATTTGCTATAGATTTTCTTAGCTCCACGTCTACAGGACTGGAAAGTTACTAAGAAGGACGAGTTCATCTAGAGGCAGAAACAGATAAATGCTTGAAATAACCACACGAGAAAAGTCACACTTTATTCATCTCAATCATATGAAGCACAATATGGTGCAAAGTGAAAAATATACACCTCTAAATGCTTAAAGGAATGGCAATTGGCAAATATGCCAAGTTACTACCTCCAGGTACACTGAGAATGACCAGCTGTCCTATCCTGAGAATCTGAACTGGAAGTATTGAGGGCTGAAAAAAAATTCAGGATAACACAAATTATCTTCAATCTCAGTATATAATGTGCCCCGGTAAGTAATAATTGCAGTACAATATTTTTGACAACAAAATCATTCAATTTCAAACATGAAATGAATGATTACCTAGAGAAAGATTAAAAGCGTGTCTGGGAATTACTTATAAACAGTTTACATTATAAACAGATATAAATGAATGGTGAATAATTGGGTGGTATTTGTGGGTCCCTCGAAACGTGGATAAAAAATATCTCGAGTGTTTATAAATTATTTATAAACATGAACCGAACATAGGCTAAATGAAGTCGCACTTGTAACAAGAAAAGTTGAGCTTCAATTCCTAATTGAACTAACACCATTTATGGTTAGTGGAAGCACAAACAACATAATGACAACAATCTGGAATGAATATGAAATCATAGTCACTACCATGAGAAGATAAGAAGCGAGTAATCTGATTGTACTCTCTTATTTCTGTTCATAATTTTCTCCTAAACTCTATAATCTTCAATCAACATACTCGGTGAACTTGGTTTGGAAAGAGCAAGTTATCTGAGATTGAGCATAAAGGTTTCAATATGATAGCATGTCTAACTCTCCAAAAGTTCGTGCTACCTTGCATTTTAGATCTCACGGTTTGTTGCATTAAAACATAGCCCAATATAGTCCAATTATATTGATTCACGATGGTGGTACTGAATTAATTCCTTTCATTTATCAAAAATGCCAATGCAACAATAAACAGAATATTGTCATGCAAATGTTGAAATGATTTTGCGCATTGATTGTTTACACTTAATCTACATACATCAAGTGTATCCCAACAAAAATCTTCAGCTTCAAAGTTTTCCTTCTTTAATAGAAGAAATACATTGTCTACGCTTATCATCAAATAAGATATAACTTAGATATACCAATTCCTCAGAACGTGTATTCAGAAACTTCTATTCAATAAAACTTTTAACTATCAACATATCAGACTTGGGAAGCTTGCATTATGTACGATTCGAATAGGAATCAGTTTTCTAAAAGATCCTGGCTTTCGTACTTTGGCGGGTCTCCGAGATCCATTTGATGACCTATGTTGCGTTGAAGATTTTAGAACAATCAATCGAACGTGTAAGGCTAAGGTAAGGTCCTGTTCATAATCCCTGTTCAAATTGCTAGCTTGACTAATTAAGAGAGTTTGGACTAGCGAAGAGGCTTTGATGACGAAGCGAAGGTACGAAGTGGATTTCTCATGGCACTCCCTAAAAATCATTATTATGCTATACGAGCATAAACAATAACCATTTTATAATGCTGGACGGTTTCAAATTGCTAGCTTGACTAATTAAGAGAGTTTGGACTAGCGAAGAGGCTTTGATGACGAAGCGAAGGTACGAAGTGGATTTCTCATGGCCCTCCCAATAAATCATTTATCCCAGCAAATGCAATTCACTTTTTACTTCCAGATTTCAGGCAAGACAAATAATTAAGTGTTGAATTTGATGGAATTAGGAGTATAAAATGAAGCATCTGAAAGTCAACAAATCTGATTGTATTAAAAATAAAAATTGCACTAAGATGTTGACTCACCGCCCAGTCATAAGGCTTTTTCATTTCACCAGTATCAAGCAGAATGGGCTTTGGATGTTGACAATCAACTTGCCCTTGTTTTGGTCTTTTAAGTAGGTTACGCACCAGTCTCCAAAATGCATTTCCCTGGAAACATACACATACAAACAGAGAGAGAAAGAGTGTATAAGTACACTTCTCTACATGCTTAAAATGCATTTCCCTGGAAACATACACATACAAACAGACAGACAAAGAGTGAATAAGTACACTTCTCTACATGCTAAACAAGCGTATATAGTTGTTATATTTGAAATACAGATCCAGCTGCAGAACCTTGTCATCTCCTTGCTTAAAATCAAAAGCCCCAGGACCGTCAGTTGTACCAGCAGCAAATGCAAACCCCATTGCTGCAGGACATGTTTTTACAATCTTAGTACCTCCTCCCTGATTAGGAATTGTTACATCAAGGTTAGAGAAGTCCACATAAGTATGGCGATAATCAACCTTTCCCTCTAATTGCTCTGATGCGTTATTGAAAAGTTCCACCGCCTTTTTGAATTGTCTATCTCCAATGACACGAGTACTTTCAAATTCATCTGGGTACCTTCCATTTAAGCAAGAGATGAGATTATAATCTGTTAAAATTATGTAAAATCCACTATTGACTTAAAAACCATTTTAAATTATGATTTCATTCTGGAAAGTACCAAAACGTGAGAGAATGCATACCCAGGACCTCGGCCATAGCATAATTCATTCTTCCCTTCACAGGTACTATGATTGAAGTCACAAGGCAACCCTGTGTCTATGCAGAAGGTCCCTCGCACATTTGGGCTAACATCCCCACAATTGCTTTGACAAAATGCAGAAACGAATCTAGGCCTATCAGCTCGCCTTAGAGAACTTCTTACACGTCTTGCAAGGCTCATAAATCTGGTTGCTGATTTGCCTGAAGAAGACTGGAAAGAAGCAGCAAGTTCAAGCAGCTCGTGATCTGCATTGAGACAACCACAAGACTAGCTAAACAAAAACCAGAGAAATATTTCTTTCTGGGTGATTGCAGAGATGTTATTCTATATTCAATTCCTCGTGTATAGTGTATACTTGCAATCCTATATATATCAAGTTTTGCTAGTTTCAATTAGCAGATATATTACTTATGTTGTATAAAATTCAACGAGCTTAGATAAACAGAAAGTATAACTCAGCAAAACAATGCAAGAAGTCAATAACTTGATAAGGTTCCATAAACAGCATTAAGAAACAAAAATCATTTCTGCCCTAAATCAGTCGGGAAAATTGGAAGAAAAGGCAGATGCAAAACATAGTGTTCCATAAAATTACAATGTAAAGGTCCACGAATTACGACTGCACTTTCCACATAGCGAATAAGTACCTTCTTTTGTATGTAAAAAATGTTATAGACAGCTAAGAATACAGGTATCAGAGTCCCATTTTCACATTTCTAGTAAAAGGATACAAGCGGTTGTGACTAATACAAACCAAAATTCAACAAATGTAATTGTACTATCTATGTAATACTGAAATATTACTTGGGAAAGTAACCAAAATCTTACGATTATTGCGAACTGGAATAATGTTTGAGACTCTCCGAGGGATTCCACTAGCCTTAGATTCATCAGAAACTATCACTTCACCACTATCCTGATCAAACCAGTCTTCCATAAAACGAGCAGCAGCTCCTTTGTTGTCCCCACTTATCAATGAGTTTGTACGGCTCATAGAAGTCCCATGGGTTGCAAACCAATTGAAGCTACCTACTGGACCCCATTCATCATCTACAAATTTCAAAAGGGTCATATCTTTATCAACGTCATACTTGTATTTACTGCGTTCTTCTGCAGGATTATTGAGATGAGCACTCGGACTGCGGTTGACCCCAGCATCTAAAAGCTCCCCTGTTATTGAAGTCAATAATTAATAGGTATTTAGATATTAAAAAAATGCAATAGACACAATTCCATTTCATACACTATTCAAGTTTTATAGAGAATATTCCTGAAAAAGCAAACAGAAAAATTTGAAACTCGAAATTAAAGATGAAACATGCTACAGAAGTGACCTATAGTTAACGATACTGATGGCACATGATATCATTTGAACTCAAGCAAATCAAGTGAACAAAGAGCAGTTATTTCAACCACAAAAAATCCAAGATAAAATATTAAAAATGAGGCCACCCAGTAGGACATAAGTCAATAAGGTACACTGTCAAATAAAAAAACTTGAGATTCAGAAGTATGGTCACCACGAATTAAGGTAAATTTAGAAGAAAAATATTGGTTTCATTGCAGACTGTAGAAATCAGCTATTTGCCACCTGAAGCCTTTCAGACTAAAAAGGAAAGTAGCAAACATAAGCTTTACCTTAGTAGAAAAAAGATAATCCTAAACCAATCAAATGAAGATTACTTGACGAGAAAATAGGATAACATATTAATTATCAAAGTTGTATCCATCGAGGATAAAGCTGCTAATATAAAGCTGCAGTGAGAAGGGGGTTAATTATGGGCCACGATCATGTTACTGAGATGCATGGAAATGAAAAATGTTTAAGGAAGTGTTTCTGTGTTTAATGATGCAACAAGTGGTTGTGATTTTAACCTTCGTTAAGAGGATGTTTGCATCAAGTGATATGGAGTTCCATCAAACCCCTAGAATATCAAATTCTGGAAAAAACAGACAAAAATTCAATGGAATGCTCATGCCCAGAAGGTACATTTCAACATCATGACAAAAGAAGAAAAAATATAACTGGAAGCCATTGATTTGAACCATTAAATGGTCAGCATTTTTCTACTATTTAACCAATTCCTTTAGAGTACTTGCCATATGATTGAACAAAACTACGAAAGATCAAACAAGTAAAATGGTACTTTATTTTACTCTTTGTAGGAACTTTGAAGCAGTTTGCTACAGAATCACCTTAATGTGAGATAAATAACGAAGCTAGTAAATATTTACTTTTAGCATTAACAAACTAGGAATGTTAAGCCTAAATTCATTACCTTTATTCACATATATTGATCCAGGTTGAAGGCTTTTATGAGCTTGTACAATACTCTCCTCAATGCCATCAACAAGGACATCAAATGATTGGCGCACGAAACCAAGAGATGTTATTATATATACAATATATTGAAGATAACCTCCAGGGCCAGCATGTGTGTGAATTCCGCTGATAGCAACATTTTTTTCTGTATACAGATTTCCATACCTGGAATAGCAAGAATGGTAGTGTTCAATCAGATTTTCCACATTTTAATAACATTGTGCAAAAGTAACAGCAAAAATTGCTTTATAATCATCTGGGATTGACGGTATATGAAAAATTCACTTCAGAAAGAGAAAACTTAATAAGGAGGCTTTGACTACCTTGCCTTCAACCTCTCGAGGACCTTTATTGTCACAAGTTGTGAGGCCATACAAGCATCAAGATTTACGAATACAACTCGGTTTCCATTTGGCTCTGCCACAATGAATGTACGGGCTCGCAGTCTGAAGTGAACCCCAGATGCAATCTGTTTCATGTTAGCATATCCCATCATGTTGACATCAGCAGCTGGCCCAGTAATGTCATAGCTTCCAAGTCCAATTAAGTAATTGGAAGCTGAGGTTATTCCTCTTCCATTCTCTAACAGGAGTAATATCAAAATCGGAAACCAAATCACTTGATTCAATCTCATCATTGTGCTCTAAAAAATAGCCAGAGTATTTCTTAATCAACCCTCTGCATTTTCCTTCAGCAATGACGTAAAAATATTTCTCTGCATAGAGAATGAAAAAATGTATTAAGACGACTAAGTTCACATTAGTTTATATTCTCTTATAAATATAAATAAAATTATACCTCCAAGAGAGGTCGATAAAGGGTTCGTTATTGGTTTGATCAACTTAAAGGACAAAAAATCGAAAAGAAAAGCAAAATTAATCGGTCACAGCTTGTTCCAGAATTTTTGAGAAATATGTCAGCATCTGACTTACTGCTACTGTAGAAAGAGATATAGCTCCAGACAAATAAGGAACGGGGAAGAAAGGCTGTGCTTTATTCAACTATGCGTTACAGTAAGGCAAGTAAATAAAATTGAACAGAATTAATTTCTCAGAACGAATCAAGAAAATCAAAATAGTAGTCAATCTATGCGTACAGAGTATACTCAAACCCATATTTCAGTAGGCATGGATAATACTCAAAACATGAAGCCCTAAATGTACAAGTGTAAGAGAATCAGTTCATACCTTGATTTATAGTAGAACAAGAAATCAAAATCACGAATAGTTGAATTTGATTATTGGTTTTCCCTTTTGCTGCAACAACTGATTTTGTACGTGCGAGGGGGGAGAAACAGGGAGATAAAAAAGGGTAATAGCAAACTGCCTGCCTTCCAATGTCATTGTTTAACCTTTTTTTCAGTAAAAGACGATTTCACCCTCCTTTCAAATATATATTAAAAAAAAAAGGATAAATAGCCAACTACAACGAGTTAATTGTTTGAACGGTCACTGAATTTTACAAAGTGTCATGTTTCAATAACTGAACTTTAAGTTGCATCCCATTACTCACTAAACTTAGTAAAGTTGCATTCCATCCATCACTGGATTAATTCCGTCAAAATCGATTGCCTACGTGGATGACAGTTTGCACATGTGGCCGTTAAATTTTGGTTTTCCCTTTTGCTGCAACAACTGATTTTGTACGTGCGAGGGGGGAGAAACAGGGAGATAAAAAAGGGTAATAGCAAACTGCCTGCCTTCCAATGTCATTGTTTAACCTTTTTTCAGTAAAAGACCATTTTACCCTCCTATTCAAATATATATTAAAAAAAAAAAGGGTCATGCTACATCAACATTTTGGATTACCCTTTGCCTTACTCGGGCCCACTCCCTCCTGTGTGTGGGACCCGACCCCATGTGAGGGAGGGGGTGGGCCCGAGTAAGGCAAATGGTAATCCAAAAGGTACCAATGGCTTAATCCAAAAAAAAAAGATAAATAGCCAACTACAACTATAGATTAAGTTTTTAAAAAATTACAAAAAAATCATAAATTTTCCACCACCACCACTTTCACAACCTACTAAGTTGTCACCTATAGATCCACATAACATCACCTTTCGGCCACCACGCCCACCGAATTCCACCATCACCAACCTTGCTTCACTCCCCACCTTCCTCCCACACACGAATTTGAAGATTGAAGCACTTAAGACCCACAATTTTGGTCAAACAACTCTCTCTCTGTGTGCATCGCGCCCTGAAGAGTTTCGAAGCAAAAATTGAAACAATTTGGAGATAATTGGTTCAATTAGATTCATACAAATTGTTGTTTGGGTTTGTTGATTCGATTGATGCCATTTGAGGATTTAGTGTTGTGGGATGCATGAATTGAAGGTAAAGAGTTTGGCAAAATGGACGTCGTCACTGTCGAATGTTTAGATTACAGTAGAATGATTTGAGGAATGTTTGATTGATGTGAGGTCATGTATAGGTTCGTCGAGATTAGGGGTGACCATCGGTGGTGGTGTGCAACCGTGGGTGGTGCCGAAAGTGGGTTGTATGCAGCAGCAGCTTTGTACTTTTGGCTACAAATGTGGCTTTTTTCGACAAATTTTGTGACTAATATTGTGGGAAAGATGTTGAGGAGAGTGAAGCGAGGCTAGTGGTGGTGGAATCCTGCAGGTGTGATGATTAGAAGGTGGTGCTATGTGGATCTATAGGTGGCAGCTTGGTGGGATTGTGAAAATGGGGTGGTGGAGAATTATGACCTATCTGTAATATTTTGAAAAATTTAAGACTATAATTGTAATTAGTTGTTTATTTTTTCTTTTCTTTTTGTTTCTTTTGAATAGAAGCGTAAAATAGCCATTTATTGAAAAAATGGTTGAAAATGACCTTTTGCATAATTAAAGGTGGAAGATAGGGATGAGAATGCTAAAAAATGAAAGGTATTAACGTTTTGCACAATAACATTGAAATGTAGGGGACGTCCTATGCTATTTACCCATAAATAATGAGGCGGATAAGTGAAGTATGTATGTGAGACGGTAATTTTGAATTTACATGTAAAATTATTTAATTAATGAAATATATCGTATTCAAAAAATACGTTTTAAAAAAATTGAACTCAAAAGGAGCTAAATGTGTGATTAAAATTAATTACTAACTTACAATTTTTATCAAATTTTAATTTATACAAAACAAGGGCTAAATATTCTACAAGCATAAAATTCTTTCCTACATTTCAATCATACATACTCTTAAAATTCATTATTCAAAAAAATGACCATCAAATATGAGTTTGGACTCACGTTTTTGGTTACTATTACTTCCAAAACCGTAGTGTGATGGATAGGCAAGGGTAGTGGTGGCAAAAAAGCTCGTCGACTCTGGCTCGGTGGAACTGAGCCTAAGCTTGGGCAAAGCCTCATTTTGGGGGGTCGGTCCGAGCAGCCGTGTCCACACGGGTCGACCAGTGATTAATTTTAAAAAAATTTAAAAAAAGTTAAGCTAAAATAGCTGAAAAAAATTTAAAAAAAAACTCAGCTCGGCCCGCTAAGGCTCGGGCCGAGCCTTTTTTTTGCCCGGGCTCTGCTCGGGCCCCAAAAAAATTAGGCAAAAAAATCTCGAGTCGAGTTCGAGCTTTTTTTTTCAGCTCGGCTCGTTGACATAGCTAGTAGTGGTGTCAACAGTTCGGTGGCTTGATATAAGCAGCAATTTATTGTACTAATCGTTGCTGGCACGAGTGAGCTTGTGAACGGCTTGCCACAGAGAAAAACAAGCAATTTCAGTAAAAAAATAAAAAAAAAATAAAAAAAAAAGAATAATAATTAGTTCATGAGGCTCGGTTTGACCCATCAAAGAGAGAGCGGTTTGACTAGCCCTATTTATGTCACTAGTCATGAGATTTGCCTCTTTTTTTTCCTCCCTATTTCAATGTTGATGGTATTTACGTGTTTTTGAATCTAGAATTGCTCCAAGAGACTAGGCAGTGCTCCAGGTAGTTTAATTTTAGTAAGAATGGAAGATGTTGGATCAGATATGTTTAAATGTGAAAAATCGAACATCTTATGATCTTGTTTGGGTGGAATTCTTAAAACATTTTAAGTAAAATTTCAACGGTTCGAAATGCAAGTGTCCTTATAAATGAAGAATAGAATCCAATCCCAAGAAAAATTCTAGTACGTGTAAACAAAAATGTCCTTTTAATATATAAAAACCAACAATAGTATCAAATTAGTCCAATCATCTCATCCCATTCTTGTCTTATCATTAGCATGCTTCATCAATGAATTACGATGGAAGACGGCAAGATTCTTAGAAGTAACAGATCTACATATATCATGAATTAATCCAAGTGTACAGAAATAGCGTTCACAGAGGTCTTACCAACCTCTCACATGAGGTGAGTCCCACATTGGACCTACCTGATTAAAAAATGGTTCAAATTTTTTCCCGTCTTCTCGTTGTGTGATGTCCGTAGAAGTTATGTGAAACAGAACCTCTGTACATACAGCACAGTTCATATATCATTCCAGTCCATATCCTTTAGTTCAAAATGCATAAAAACAAGAAAAAACTTACCCAGGGTGAAAAATAGGGAAGGGAGTGACAGACTGATTTGTCAGAAAATGATTTATTTGTTTTTGTTTTAAATTTTTAAATTGTCCAACCAAGTTTCGACATGTGTCCCACCTGAATTTGAGCCTGTATTTGGAGCATGATTCTTAGTCAGAATTGGGGACGTTGAGTCAGACATGTTTAAATGTGAAAAACCGAACATCTTATGCTCTTGTTTGGGTGTGGAATTCTTAAAACATTTTAAGCAAAATTTCAACAGTTGGAAATGCAAGTGTCTTTATAAATGAAGAATACAATCCAATCCCAAGAAAAATTCTAGTACGTGTAGACAAAAATGTCCTTTTAATATATAAAAACCAACAATAGTATCAAATTAGTCACATCATTTCATCCCATTTTTGTCTTACCATTAGCATGCTTTATCAATGAATTACGATGGAAGACGGCAGGATTCTTAGAAGAGTCAACGAATCTACATATATCATTCCAGTCCATATCCTTAGTTCAAAATGCATAAAAACAAGAAAAAACTTATTTTGCCAATCAGTTTCCAGTTTATCCTAATCATTGAGAACAGATCACCACACAATAACTAATGTAAATTCCACCGGGAATGAAAGAAAAAGTGAAAAACAAAGTCGAGATTTAAATCGATTACATTCATATATCTATTACATATATATTCTTGATAATCCATTTAGTTCCTTACCCTTACGTATTAAAACAGCGCACGCACGCACGTGTATATATATATATAATGAAAGTGTCCAACAATTATGTACACGAGTAACAGAAATCGATCAGTAGGCTTCATATTTGCCACTTGAATCATCCCCTGAGGTTCGGGTAGAAAGGGAGGGTCTCATGGTAACCAGAGCAGACTCGTTTGCTCCAGCCATCAAAGCTGTCCTTCCAGCTTCCAAGAACCTTTCAACAGCATCCTCAGCATAGCGATTGGCCTCACCCACTGTCATCATTTTCCCGATATGAGGATAGGTGTTGAGGACATGGTCACCATTGAGCTGTGATGCAAGTTGAATCAGTTCAATTTGAAATTCGGAAAGTTTAACATCTTCCTTTGGTCCCCATGGCCTTAATGTCGTCGTAACCTCTGGGAGCTTCTCTGAACAGCAATCCAAATTTCACTCTTAATTATAATCCTCAATGTGATTTATTCCAGAATTATACATGTTAGTTGTAGATATACAAAGGTAATATATAACAAGGAACTCAAGTCTTGCTTAGTAAACAAAATACGAAAAACATATGGGTCCTTGATCAATCCCTTGGCGGAGTAGGGATTCCTATAGCAACAAATTCTTTAGCCGTGGCTTTGAAAATTTTAACAAACGAGAAAGAGACAAAAGTCAGTGCTCCTTGCAAATACCTAAATGTTCACACGAAAACTGCAGTAAAAATATGCTATCAAGGAAAGGAGATATTCCTTGAAAATTTTCCATAGGGCTAGGAAAGCATTCATTCTTCAGCCAATTTTCCATTTCTCAAAAGTCTTCAAACAGTACAAGTTTATTGATAGATTCAACTCAAGACACTGAATGATCAAAAGGTTGACAGTGGGTTATATATGTTAGAATAAAGATTAATTCTCCTCTCAGTTGTATTCTGAGATCAATTTTTCAGTTAAAAACTAAATGCAAACACCTCCAGAACTGTTCGTGTTAATATATATTTTTTTGTCATCTAAAAGCTCAAGTTATTCGAGATGAGAGAAATTCATTTATTTATATTTTATATCTTCAACACATCTTACAATATTCATCCTTTCATCAAAGGCATTTTCATATTTGAGTGGCACTAAGACTAGAACCTAGAAATTTATCCTCTGTAATACCGCGTTGAACCACCTGTCTAAAATACGCTATTACAAGGGAAAGGAATTTACTTATCAAGTTTATATCTCCAACAACATACTCATTATTGAAAATAATCCAACTAAAGAAATTAAAATTTTAATGCCTCAATAAAGTATGATAGTCTGAATAGCAAACCTGTATAAATCATCATAAATGACAAAGCATGGAACATTTAAAAAAGCATCAGAAAGGTTGAAGCAAACCTGGACAGTCATCACGTGGGGTATCTCGTAGGTAGAAGTAGTTCTCAAAGGTTCCAGCCCATGCATCCCTTTTAGTCAAGAAATTTGATGGAAGATTGAAAAGCTTCTTCACAGTTGCAGGTATTGAAGAGTGTTCATATTGAGAAGACGGTGTTGGTCCACTTGGTTCATGGATCACTGCACAAGAAAAAATATAAACCAGGAGAAACAATGAAATTATGAGTACAAAATTTCAAAAGGATTGAATTCTGGAACGAGCACCCAAAATTGCCATTTTTCGTTCTTCTTTGTATTAAGATAAATGCGAGATCTGAATTTTTTCTGAGTATAACCTTGATTTTATTTGTTAATTTCCATTTCAGTTTTAAGTTCAAGACTTTCTACATTGGTTCCAATTCAGTTAACCAAGCTCTAAATTGTTTCTACTGAAACCATTATAAACACATTTCAGCTGAACTCCATTATCTAAGCAAGCACTTGAAGTAAATCTGACTCACCGGTTCCCTTGTCAACCCAGGGAGAAATCAATAGAGTGGGTACGCGCACACCAAGCCTCTCAAAGTTGAAATAGAAGGGAGGAGGGCCGATTATCCCATCAGGATTGGGCACCCCAGAAACCGGCGTCGGCACATGATCGTAAAACCCGCCATGCTCATCATAAGTGATCAAAAGAGCCATCTCCTTCCACTGTGGACTCGCCCTAAGCGTCTCATAAACCTCCTTCACAAACTTCTGTCCTCTCGCTACATCATGCGATGGATGATCATCGTTTGCTGGGAATAGACTGACATCAAAGTACCGTTGCTCGATCACAACGTAGTTGGGGAGCTTCCCCCTCTTGGCGTGCAATTTGAATTTTAACGCATAGTTATGGAATTTGACGATGTTCTTGAGCTTCCTCAAGCTTTTGAAGAAAAGAGTAGCAGGTATATTTTGATAATAAATCCCAAAAGTTAGATCATTCTCATCTAAAGAGTCAAAAATAGTCTTTTGCGGAAATCCATTGATAAGATCTTTCCTAACGTTACTTGAGGCGCCGTGGGAGGTGGCGGAGTGGACGTAGAAACGGTTGGGCTGAGTCGAAGCAGGCACCGAGGCAAACCACCTATCCATGACTGTGAACTCGTTCGCCAACTCAGAATAAACCGGTACCAGATCTGGTTTGAACCCACTCATAACGTTTTTGGACATTCCGTCAACCCCCATAGCCTCCGCCTGCTGCACAAAACCGTTCATCGGCGCCGGGTTTGCCGACGTGTCATTTGACCCGAATATCTGTTCCCGGATAGCTTGAATCGAGTGACCCGGGTCCGAGTCAATAAAAAATGCTTCGTCCGAAACGTATACAGGAGGAGAGCCGGAGTCAGAGGCGTTGACCCGGTTGAATTCGGAGCCGCTAAGACCATCGATATCAGGCCGGTTCTTTAACCATCCGAGCATGTGATCAAAGGAGCGATTTTCCATTACTAATATTACAAGGGTTTTGATGGGGCCATCAATTTTGTGCTTATGTTTCTTGGGGAAGTGAAAGGAGGAAGAATTAGATGGGAACAAAATGAGGAAAAGGAAAAGAAAAATAATTAAGTTGGATCGCCGGAAACCCATTTTCCGGTGATCCGCCGCCTGCCGGTGAGGGTTGAAGATGGTGGGATTTTCGAGGTTGGTAACAGTGGCATACAATACTAGTATATAGCGTACAAGCAAATATAAAGACTAAAAAATTGGCATATCCGTTTTGCTTCAACTTCAAGGATATTTTTTAGTATTTCATACATTTGACCACACACTTATATGCATTACGTGCGATTCTGCCTGCCCCATATAAAAAAAAAATATCATTTCTCTATTTTTTATCTAAAAAATAGATACGTATACGTAATGAAAAGTAACATAAAACCTAACGACATACATAACACGACATGTTACATTTTGTGAGATAACGACGAAATAAAATTTACTATGTACTCATTTTAGTTTTGAAATTTCAAATTCGAAGATCTACTTTTTTTATTCGAAAAATAATGTTTTTAATTTTCAGTTACTTCTTTTGAATCATAATAACAATATCTCCTCACCGCCACTGCAACCATCATCTTCGCGTCGCCTCCATTATGATCACTGCAACCATATGAAGCCATTTCCATCACCACCTGTTTATTGCATCAACTTGATCGCTCCAACCTCATTGTCTACTCCTGACACAATCACGACCACAACTCACCTTTGCAAACACACAAGCTCTCCAATTTTCGTCCAAGAGTGTTTGGCAAAAAAATTACCCCGCCATCCAAGCCATTTTTTTGTAAAAAAATTTCTAATTCAATTCTTTGAAAACAAGACAAAGGTGAGAGAAATGTAACTAACTAGTATGGTTGAATTTTCTTTATCGAGTTAAATATTTCAATGGTCACTGAACTTTGTGACATTGCAGGACTTATTCATTGAACTTCATAAAGTATTTCATTAACCACTTAATTTTGCTCCGTCCCACTCCATCACTCACTAGATGAAATATGTTAGTAGAGTTGTTGATGTGGACGACGGAAAATGACGCGGCCCGTTGGATCAGTCCAAATTCTAAATTAAGTGCCAATTCATTGCCACATCAGAAATTAATTTTCCAAACGTGGCTTAACAACTAAAGGAAACAACAATTAAATCCCCAAAGCCTTAATTCCTCTCGCGCGAAGTCTCTAAGATCGCGAAATCCATTCAATTCTTATCTCACGCGAAGTCTCTGAAGATTCTATTGTTGTATTCAACTTTTGCTGTATAGTTGGGACAATTAATTTGGAGTTTATAGTTAAAACTTGCTGTAATTTTTTCGACTATTTTTACTATTGTCGCCTTTACCTCTCTATTGTTCTTGAGTACGTCGCTGTTGAGGTCCGTAAATGTGATTTAAATTTTTCTTTATTACGTTTGTGTATAAAATTATGCCTGATGTTTGCTGATTTGATAATTTGGATTTTTTATTTTTAGTTATTGGAGCTTGCCGGCAGTGCTGTAAGAGACAAGAAGAAGAATCGGATTATTCCAAGGCACATTCAGTTGGCTGTGAGGAATGATGAGGATTTGAGCAAGTTGTTGGGTTAGGTGACAATTATGAATGGCGCTGTTCTGCCCAACATTCACCAAACACTTCTTCTACTCGACTGGGGGTGTTCCCGTGGCTAAATCTGGTCCAATGCGAGTTTGAACTAAGCTAGATTTAGTCAGAATAGAATTTGAGGCGGATATATAAGAGCCAAAAATGTACTTTCAAGAACCACTTGAGGCAGAATAGAATCTTAACCGGATAGTTGCTTTGATAATTGATTTAAGCCCCTATTTGACCTACATTATTTTTTTATTTTTCTACTCTTTTTAATCACAAATTTTTCAATAAAATAATATTTTTCATCACATCAATAACTTTTCCTAGGGCTGAACACGATTTGATTTCGACGGTTTGTGCCATATTTTCAACTCAAACCATTTCATACGGTTTTGAATTTTTTCAAACCAAACCAAACCATTTTATTTTTCGAACCGAACCAAACCATAAATTGTGGTTGGTTCGATTTTAATCCGCGGNGAACCAAACCATAAATTGTGGTTGGTTCGATTTTAATCCGCGGTTTACCTATCGACATGATAATAATGTATTTAAAATAAGTTAACATATAAGTTTAAACGAGAACTGATAATATTAAATGTTAAATTAAATTCATCTTTCCCACCCGTGAATAAATTATTTTCAAAGTAGGTTGTTAAAAAATGTTAATAAAACGAATATATCTTTCTTCCTTTTTATTTACCTATTCTTGTTTGTTTTTTATATTGTCATATAATGGTTGGTAAAGATAGAGTCACATTCTGTTATAATAGTTTGAATAAAATTTCTTTTATCCTATTAGTGAGATGAAAAATAAGAACTGAACATGATACGTTTAAATATACAAAGAATAATAGAGTTCATGTTTATTGAAAATTGACAAATTTTATTTTCTAACGATTTTGAGAAAGTAGAATGTTGTAGTACTATAACATTTTCACACAATCAATACACTCTATCCTTCATTCTTTCTAAACTACAAATAAGTTCATTAATCACATATGCATATAAACATTCATTTTTTTTAAAATCTAAATCACAACTCTCAAGTGTATAATAAGTTCAAAAACAACAAATGAAAGAAAAACAATAAAAAATGACTTGAATAGGAATCTAAGACTTATCAAGAGAGAAAGAGGTGATTCGGATAGAAATTAGCCGACTAACAAGCAAAAGGCAATTAGCGATTTGCGATTGGGAATCGCATTTTGTTCAACACTAGCAGGCAAATGTCAAATGTTTGACAAATGAGAGTTTAGGTTAGGGCTTCTGAAATTGTGGGCGTGATTTGTTGTTGTAGTTTCGTTGAATTATGGTTTGGATTATTGAAAATAATTTTTTTTTTTTTCATATTATTTGAGATTAATTTTAGATTAGGTATCGGGTCAGGACGTATGTTGTGGACTTATAAAACCATCGATCAATAATGATGTACTTACTTTACTTTATGTTATTATTTCAATAGGTTGGTTGTAATTTGTATTACTAAATTGATATTTTTGCTAAAAAGTGAAAACTTTAAAATTTGTAAGTTAATAAAATTAATTTTTTAATTAAAAATTTAAAAAACGGTTCGGTTCGATTTTATGCGGTTTTTGAAAATTGAAATCTAAACCAAACCATTTTGAAACGGTTTGGTTCGGTTTGAAAGAAAAAAAAATCGCGGGTCGACGTGGATCCGAACCAACGGTTTGAAACTAACGGTTTCGGTTCGATTTGCGGTTTCGCGGTTTTTTTGTGCAGCCCTAAGTTTTCCTTCATTTTCAACCACATATTTTTCATTACTTAACTTCAAAAAGATGTATTCTCTCATTTTAATGTGCACCAAAAATGCTCTAGATTTGGGGATTAGGGTTTTCGGGGATTATCTTAATTTAGGGATTATTAAGTTTGGCAATCTCGATTTCGATCGCGTAGATGAAACGGGTTTTGATTATTCTGGATTTCGAGCTTCTTCTTGGCTACGCATTTCTAATTTCTATTGATTTTGGTTATAGGCCGTGTTTGGTGAATGTCTTCTTCGGAAAAAAATGACATGGAGCTGAGTTGGCGCGTGAATTTATAGTAGGACGAATTTAACATGCCTTTAAATTTTTAATTAAAAATTTTAAAAACGGTTCGGTTCGGTTTTATGCGATTTTTGAAAATTGAAATCTAAACCAAACCATTTTGAAACGGTTTGGTTCGGTTTGAAAGAAAAAAAATCACGGATCCTCGTGGATCCGAACAAACGGTTTCAAACTAACGGTTTCGATTCAATTTGCGGTTTCGCCTTTTTTTGTGCAACCCTAACTTTTCCTTCGTTTTTAATCACATATTTTTCATCACTTCACTTCAAAAAGATGTATTATCTCATTTTAATGTGCACCAAAAATGCTCTAACTGGATTTGGGGATTAGGGTTTTCGAGGATTATCTTAATTTAGGGATTATTAAGTTTGTCAACCTCGATTTCGATCGCGTAGATGAAACGGGTTTTGATTATTCTGGATTTCGAGCTTCTTCTTGGCTACGCATTTCTAATTTCTATTGATTTTGGTTATAGGCCGTGTTTGGTGAATGTCTTCTTTGGAAAATAATGACATGGAGCTGAGTTGGCGTGTGAATGTATAGTAGGACGAATTTAACATGCCACTTTGATTTTCCGTCCTCCGTGTAGGCATCATTTTTAACTCATCCATCCAGTGAATAATGGACAATGACAACTGAAGTTTATCCACCAATTACAACTCAAGTTTTTCTCTTTTTTTCTTGTCAAATCTGTCGAATCTATTTTTTTTTTTTTTTCTTCTTGTGGGATTGGTTTTTTTGTGGTGGTTGTGGGGATTGATTAGTATTAATGACGTGATAGTTGAAATGCTCCATTGGCAAAGGCAGTAAGGCGGGTGGCAAAATATGCCTAATATAAAACTTGTTTGATCTCGTTATTTTTAAAATATATTTTTCTTTTTTCTTTTTAATTACATATTTTTCAATAAAATAATATTTCACGCAAATATAAAAAATTTCTTTATTTTTTAACCAAACATTATCCATATCAATTTACTATTTCAAAATGTATTCTTAATAAAAAAAAAAAAAATGAGGCTCAAACACGGGTTATAGTATGGGCATATTATGAACACAAGTGTTGTGTTGCGAGAAGTGTAACACTTTTTTATTGTAAAAAGGCGAAACAATAGTATAAAAAAATTTAACGTAAAATGTATTTTGGAAAAGAGAAAATGTTGGTAGTATTTTGTGAAATAATTTGTTTTGTTTAGCTGTTTGTTTCTCATTTTTAGTAAGAATGCATTTTGAATTAGTAAATTGATGGGGAATATATGATTAAAAAATAAGGAAACATTTTAAGTTTGCGTATAATTTTTTTTAATTGAAAAATGTATAGTTGAAAAGAAAAAAGAGAAAAATGAATATCAAAGAAGGGCTTAGTTTATTTGGAAATTACACAAAATAAAAGTTTTCAAGATTCAATTTCAAATTTCAGAAATTAGGTTTCACTTTTCAAAAATTAGATATTTCATTTTTAAATATTAAATCTTATATTAAATATTAATTATACAATTTTTATTCTAAACCCTAATCAATTTCATTCAAAATTGGCAAACATTTTCTACCTTTTCTCTTGTCTCTCTGTTTTCTCTTTCCTCACTCTCTTATCTCCTTCACCACCGATGGCGACACAACAAACGCCATCGTCGCAACCATAACAGCGAGCGATGACGTCATCCCCCGACCTCTCTCATCACTATCTCCGTCTTTTCACTCTCTCTTCTCTCCGTCACCACTAGAGGCGACACAGCAAACGTCGCTGCCGTAACCATTGCAGCGAGCGATGCATCATCCCCATGTTTACAAATTTGAGAGTGGTGGCTTCATCTTCGGTATCACGACGTAACAACGTGGGTGATTTTCATGCTATCGTGGTTTTTAGCAGTGGCGGTGTGATAGATCTGCTTTGCAGTGGATAGATCTTATTGCAATGGTTTTCATGCAGCCACCGTAGTGATGGCAAGGTGCTGCTGTGGTAAGATGCTGACGGTGGTGGTGAATCTACTTAATGTGTGGTGGTAGTGTTGCTGGTGATGATGCTGCTTATGGAGGTTTAGGATGATTTTGTTGGTTGTGTAGGTGAATGTGCGACGATGATGGTGGATCAAGCGACGACGATAGTGAAGGTGGTGGTGGTGGTAGGGGCTCTAGGGTAGGGACCTTGGCAGGGGGACACCCTTTGGCTGGCTACTGGGTTACTGTGATGTTTGTGTGATGGTGGGTTACTGTGGTGTTACAAGTCATGATGATGCTGCTACATGTGGTGGGGGATCTAGTGGTGGGTGGTGGTGGTACGATGGTTGTGGGTGGGTAGTGGTGTTGGTGGTGATGTTGGCTACGGTATTCAAGACGATGATTTTGTTGTAGGAGGTGGTGTAGGTGGTTCTGGCGACGTTGGTTTGGGCTGCTGCAACGGTGTAGTGGTTGTCACAAGCATTGATGGTAGTTTCAAATTATTTGGTTGATTGTGTCCAATAAATTAGTTAGTGTGTGACCAATAAATAATATGTAACCAATGAAATAGATAAATCGTGACCAATAAATACTGTGTGACCCAAAAATTCATTAATTTATGATCAATAATTTGATAAATTGTGATCTAAATATAATTTGTGATCAATTAATTTGATATTTTGTGATCATAGATAAGTTATGACTTATAAAATTTATGATTTGTAACCAATAAATAATATGTGATTATTAATTTGATACCGATGAATAAATTGTGATGTATAAATTTTTTATTTGTAATCGATCAACAAATTGTGACCTACACCCCACCTCCACCGCCACTGTCGTTCCGGCGACTGTTCCGAAAACTACTCCGATTCCGACCACCATTCAGCCATCGATTTATTCAGGCGACTGCTCCGATTACAATAATTGATGCAACTCCAACGACTGCTCCAAATCGTGAACCTACAAAACAACACGTGACCTGTTAATATTGACATGCGACCGGTTTATATTTATTTGTGACCTATAATTAACCTGTGCCTGTGATCTATGACCTTAATGACTGTGATTGTGACCTCAAACCTATTATTGTGACCTTAACGACGAAATAATCAACCACAATTTTATACAATATGGTCATAGCTATCAAATTAATTGATCATATAGATCCGTGACCCGTCTATATTATTTGTGAATTTTATAGGTCACAAATTATTTATTGGTCACCAATTGAAAATTTTATAAATGACCGATTATTTCGAGGTCAAAAATTAATAATTTTATAGGTCATAAATTATTTTATTTGTCACGGATCACAAAATCAACATTTTTCTCGATCACAAATCAAAAAATTTATAGGTCACAGATTAATTTTTCGGTCACAACTTAATTAACTGTGAGTCACCATTTGAATTTTAAGGGGCCTAGTCAACTAATTGATCACAAGTGACCAAATAATTGGTCACAGGTCTACTGGGTCACATACCAACACCATATCCAATGTCTCCACTGCCACTTGCGACCACCCTCACACGAAAATGGCCGACTACGCCACCACCACCAACAACCACCTCCACTGCCACCAAAAACTATCACCACCAAACATCATCGCCCCTACAACCACCAAACTCACAGCCACCACTACATCTAACACGACCATCACCGGTGTTGTCGCCATAACCGACTGCACCAACATCTCGCTACCGCAACCAATATCACAAACCACCACCAACAAAACACCAAAAACCACCACCAAAGTCGTCACCAACTCCACAATCAAACTGCCACCTCACCACCAAGACCACAAAAACCATCACAACTACCACCACCTGCACCACCAACCACCACCACCTAAACCCTCCCCTAACAACACCAAAACTACTGCCAAATTCAATGAAACCCACTCAAACCACCAGATCCACGAACACCACCACCACCACAAAACACCATCCAAACCCACAAAATCGAGCCCATCAAAACTCAAAGAATAACAAATCTTCGGCAACAGTAGACCCACTAAGCAGAGCACACATCGGCTTTGAACAGTGGCACTAATCACCGCTCTTAGTAGTTTTTGCAGCGGAGTCGACGGATCAGCTTCGCCGAGCCATCTTCTCTTCATTAGAAGGTGATTGTAGGCAGTCGTTGTTGTGATGACGACAACACTCACATCCAGTCGGGGTGTTGCGGTGACGGCAATGGAGAAGAGGGAGATCAGAAAAGAGACGAAACTGAGATGAGAGAAGGGAGAGGAAGATAGACGGCGGGCAGAGGCGGCGAGCGGAGGCTATTGTGTAGAGAGAGAGTGGAAGAAAGCGAAGTGTTGTGGTAGAGAGAGAGAGAGAGAGAGAGATGATTAATTAGGGTTTGGGATATATGTATTGGAGTACATATATTTTATAAATATATATATTTTATAAAAATATTAATTAAAATAAGTCCGTTTGGTAGAGATTAAAATCGGATTAAAATTGAAAAACTAGCCGTTATTGTTGACTTTTATTAGACGAGTGGAGCTCAATAACGGCTATATTTTCAATTTTAATTGGATTTTTTGAAGTTTTTAGAGCTCGTTTGGTAAAGATTAAAATTGGATTAAAATTGAAAAATTAGCCGTTATTGTTGACTTTTATTAGACGAGTGGGGCCCAATAACGGCTATATTTTCAATTTTAATTGGATTTTAATCGATACCAAACAGGCTCAAAATATCTGATTTATGAAATTTGAAACTTCCCACTTGATTTTAGAATTGAGGATTTTAAAAGTAGGGTATTGTGTAATTTTCACTAGTTTATTTGTGTAACTTTCATGTGTAACGAAGTAGTTTTCAAAACAAAATTCTGAGGCCCGGCCCATGCATACTCTGAGCAGACAGGGGTCCAGTTTAAACATATTGGACTGGGCTGCCCCAAACTTCAGTCCAGTTTTCACCACAGTCCGATCCCCCTCCCCCGCCATAATTTTCGTCCAGACAGATCAGTTTAAAACCTTCGCTGCCAATGGCTGCTTTCTCTCTACTCTACACAACACAGAAATTATTATACGATACAAATTCTAATAAACAATAACTCGGGAGTCTGTTCTGATTAGATTAAAAGATGATGAATTGTGACTTTTTAGAAGCTACGCATTTGACCTTGAATCCTCGATATCAGTTCCGATCCCAAAATGGAGCTGCTACGTGGAATCTAGTTTCTATTTTATACTCAATCACTCAAATCCTGCAAATGCTTAATCCCTTTTCTTTCAATAGGCTAGATTTGCGGGCTCCTTTGCGTGTTTTGCAGAAAGGTAGTGATTCATTTCCGAGTCATGCGTTTTGCGTGAGCTTTTCTTCAACTTTGCCGTGTTCTGGTGCCTTCATGCTAAAAAGTGTTCTGAAGATTGTGAATAATTTGCTTCTGATACTTTAAATGTACTGATGAAGAGAATAATCAGGTCAGAGAATGATTTGGTGATCGCTCGTCGGCTTCAATAATCTCTAGCTGGAGAAGCAGCTTCTGGTCTGTCACCCAATAAAAGGTGATGCTTCATGCTCTAATTTAAATTATCTTCTCTTGTTCTTCCGAATTATACGGTATTCATTTTTCTCCTATTCCGACGTGTCTATATAGTATACACTGCTTAATTAGATATCGTATTTCTTTGCGATGAATTATTTCTGTTGAATCCCTAATGTTAGAGATGGATCAAGTTATACTGTTATAAAATGGTTTGATAAGATCAAATTGAGATGAATTTTGATTGATTATTTCTTCTTCAATTTGTAGTTTGAAACTTGAATTGTTTGATACTGAAGGTGCATCTTGTTTTAAGTTTGCAATTAAGGATCACAGAACTTTGAATAACTATACATGATAGTTTGCAGACCCGTGATTATTTAATTCAAAATCGATCAGTTTATTATACTTAAATTAACAGGATATAATATATAGAAAGCACTTATAGAAGAAGAACAATCATATGTGCAGTAATTTTTCAGATTACTAACTAGATTTGAATTATTATTGCTTGATGAGTATATGATTGATTTAGTCCTTAGCTCTATGAGAGAATCCAACCATTGCTGTTTTGTCTAATTTTTATAAATTTAACTTAATTAGGGCAATTGCTTGATTTGATCCCATTGTCAACCTCCAATTTTTATCACCTACATTTTCAGCAAGGATTCTGAATGCAATCTGACTCATGTGCTTTGGTTTCATTCTTTTCATGAAAATTTCATTAAAATTTTGAAGGAAGAAAACGGTATTTAAAGTATTTTGTATATCAGTCTTTCCTGAGTTTCGTGAGCCTTCATTCTCCGCATCAAAACAAATCAATGAACCTTTCTTCACATTTAAGAAATTGCAACTTGAATGATATGATTTGTTTAGAGTATAATTCTTTATAATTGGTTAACGCTGATCCAGGCAAGTAAGCGTTAGACATTATTGTACAGATAGTCAGGCCACTTCTCAGTTTTTGACTCCTTAAAGGCAGGTAACATGTCGAGTGAAGTAAAATCAGATGCAATTACTGGTCCTGATGGCAAGGAATTAGAACTCGGATATTTTGATAAAGCAGCAGCACTTGGTGAAAAAGAGAATGTAGCTCAAAGGGCTCGTGATGGATTTTATAGGCCACGAGAGTGGCCATTTAGCAGCAAAATAAAACCAACAGAATATAGATACTCAAGTGAAAGGTGTAGTATGCTTATCCTTGATTGTTATTCTTTTGGTTTTGTATTCATTTACTAGTTCTTTTACTTTCTCTAAATAATGATACTGTTTTTTAACATGTGAGCAATTTTCACTTGACAGTATAAGGGAAATTCTTAGAAAAAGGAAGATCACTGGCTAATTACTGTTATTTAATGGTATTGTAGTTCGTCAGTCATTGATAACAAATGTTTTGTTGAATAACTAATATTTCCTAGCAGATTTCCCAAAGGGACTCGAGAAGCGCGATTGGATATTGTGGTCCCTATAGTTGATAGGAATGAAAGGAGAGAGCATAGATCAGGAAAACAATCTGGACCTCCATTGTCTGGTGCAGCATACTGCCTTTCTTCTTGCAGCATGATCTTACTGAACAAAATTGTACTTTCCAGTTATGCTTTCAATGCTGGAATTTCATTGATGTTCTACCAGGTACGTTCAGCTAATATATATATATATATATTTATTATTANNNNTTTTTTTTTTTTGAAATATGAAGCATGTTCCACCTCTGATATCTTTCTCTCATATCATGCTGTTCACTAATTTAAGTTACCCTCTATATTTTTTCAACTAGTCTGTCGCGTCAGTTTGTATATTGGTCTCTGCACCTTACCTTTTCTTTTTTCTGTATTTATCAATTATAGAGTCTATCAAGCGTTTATAGCCTTCAGTAATGTATGATGAATATTGTATTCTTTTGTGGTAAATGTTAATTTCTTACCTTTATTTCCTGCAGAATTTTATCAGTACGGTTATAGTTGTTGTTTTGGGTTTCTGTGGAGCAGTTACGATTGAGAAGCCAAATTGGAAGCTGATTAAACTATGGATCCCAGTCAATTTGATTTTCATTGGCATGCTTGTTTCAGGAATGTATAGGTACCTTCTCGGAAACTTTTCACATTTCACATGAGGACAGCAAATGACAGTTATAAGTATTAAGAGCTTGTTTGGTGGAGATTTTTGGGGAGAAGAATTGATTTTGAATAGTNGAAGAAGTGATTTTTGAATAGTGATATGATGGGAAATGTGTGGTTGAAAAAGAAGAAAAAATTATTGATGTGATGGAAAATATTATTTTATTGAAGAATGTGTGGTTGAAAATGAGAATTGATTTGAGAATCAATTCTCAAATCAAAAACAAACACCCCCTAAGTATTGTGAGTAGACCGAACATATATCTCATTTCCCTCTACCAGGAAGTAGAAATAGAAATATACTTTCTTGTAATTAGCCTTGTATAGTTTATATCATTGTGTCAATAATGACTGATGTTAATGTTTTCAGTTTGAAACACATAAATATTGCAATGGTGACAATTCTGAAGAACGTGACAAATATTCTAACAGCGGTTGGAGAATTTTATATTTTCCGGAAGCGTCAGAATGGGAAAGTGTGGACTGCCATATTTCTTATGGTATGACGTAATTCGTTCTTGTTTTCATGGATTTACATGCTATCTATGTATTTAATGAAAGCATTAGAACCAGAAAGTTCTGGTTTGCTTTATCTTGTATGATATGGCTTATACTTCCTGGCTCTTCTTCAGATTGTTAAGTTGTTACGACCTCTGTTTAATAGTTTATATCTCACCGCTGCAAAATTTATCCACCCACCAAATAAGCCACAAGAAAATGAATTTTAGTATTCTACTACATAGATCTTTTGTGGGACAGCATATGAATTATATACTTCTATTGACTTGATCAGAATATCGAAGTTTGATTATTTGGTTGATGTTTCTGAACTGATCTTTTGACAGTCCTTTAATATTTTCATATTAGTCTACCTTTCCTATCCTTTTGGGAGAGACTCAGAATCATTTGCAATTCCTTGATGTTGGTGCTGTAGATAATCTCTGCAATAAGTGGAGGCATAACAGATCTGTCCTTCAATGCCACGGGTTATGTATGGCAAATGATTAACTGCATTTTAACTGCAAGCTACTCGGTATGTTGTTTTTGTAAGCCTTCTTTTCTTTATGTGCTCCTTTGAATTCTCATTGGGACAATTGCAATCTGAAACAGCTTACCTTGCGACGTGTCATGGACAAAGCAAAGCATTTGACGAATTCTGGCTCTCTAAATGAAGTTTCAATGGTGTTGTTGAATAATTCATTGTCATTACCTTTTGCTATCTGCTTGATATTCCTGTTTGATGAATGGGATTACATAATTAACGCGTAAGAAAACTTATTTTTACCTTTTTTGCATTCCTTCCTAGAAATTAAGCGTTTGATATGCATTGTTGCAAATATATGCAGGGAAGTAATAAGGATGCCTATGTTTTGGGTTGTTGCAACAGCAAGTGGGCTGCTTGGACTTGCCATTAGCTTCACCTCTATGTGGTTCTTGAATCAAACCAGTCCTACAACTTACAGGTAACTACTCACACTCCATATGATGTTCTAATATTGAAGAAATGCTATCTTTTGCTTTGAGTGGTAGTATTTCATATTTGTACATACATTTCGGTGTTTTGAAAATGAAGAAACCCTATCCTTTTGCATGCTTATTATTTCTCTTGAAATTAGTTATTAGGACTTGTTCCATATATGGGGCAGGTCCTGAAAGAGAAACAATTGCTGGACACATCTACTTAAATTGTATTTCTCCAATCGTCAAGGTTTCAGAAAGTGAATGAAATCCTACTATTCATATGGTTGTCTAAAATTTTATCCATTCTTAAATCATCCTTCTATTTTCTGTCATGTTCTTATTTTGTTGACGGTGTTATCTCTTGTACGACACTGTTGTCTGCTGGAGAAAGGGATGTTTAACTTTCTCAAATAACTCCCCTTGCAGTCTTGTAGGTTCCTTAAACAAGATTCCTATCTCGATTGCTGGTTTAATGCTGTTCAAAGTTCCCCTAAGTCTCCCCAATTTCTTCAGCATACTATTTGGTAATATAATCAGCAGTATGTTCAGAATCTGTCACAATAAATGTAAGTTACATTAATAAAAAACATGTTTGCACTTTTTTTTCAGGTCTATTTGCTGGAATATTGTTCGCTAAGGCCAAGATGTCCTAATCATAGACATCTTAGGAATATAGGAAGCCTTTGTTCCTAATATTTTTTATAGTCATTATTCCAAGCTATATATATCTTCTATATATTAAAAGTGGCTATGTAACGGAATTTGTTGTTTTTAACGGAAAAACTAACGAAATTTGTTGTTTTAACGGATTATGTAACGGAATTTCTTGTTTTAAACAGACAGCTGCACCTTCCTTCAGTGTTTTTATCATAACTTTGTATTCTGATATCCGATTGAAGCGATTCAAAATGTGTTGGAAAGCTAACTCATCTGGCTACAACTTTGATTCAGACATCATTCTCCAATTCGATCACTTTCTATACCAAAAATAGTTCTCAATATGATACTAAAATATCGGAGCACAACTTTTCGGTTGAAAATTGATTTGTGATCATCTTTTGACTTTGATTCCATTGACGTCTTCCTTTATCCAATTGACTCCGAGCACTCTCAAATCTTCATCGTGAGGTTCGTCACAACTTTTAAGTATTTATATTTTAGTCCCCGAACTTTGGATCCCTTACAATTTAGCCATTTCTCCAAATTTGTCAACTTTTGCTTATTTTTTTCGATCTCACCAACTTACATCACAATATCAAAATCACACATCTAATTATTTATCAATTACATAAACATTACCTCATTAATTATTTAAT